TGTATAAATTTGGATGGACTTATCATGATTTCTGTCACCTCCTATACACACACGCGCGCTCGCCAAATAATAAGTTTCTTACCTTTGGCCTGCGCAGCGGTACCATGAATAAGCGGATTTAATGTGACGATAAAAGAAAATTAAGGCGAGCTCAATGCCGCTGCATCAGCGAAGTAAAGTCAAGGCAACTTCCCGGATCAGATGCACATATACCACTTATACGAAGAGCGACTCGGTAAGTAAGGTGCACCACCGGTGCAGCGGGCGCACGTGAGCTCAGAGTTTATGCGCGTCGAGAGCATGAATTCGTAGCTATTTACTGGATAATCTGAACTAATGGCGTTCGTAAGAATGAGCCATAGACGCGATCTCCGTGCTCGTACTCGGAGAGATGTATAGGTACCCTACGAACGACGCAGGGAAGCCAAGGTGCACGCAGCCAAATAGAAGAGACCCGCCATTCATATTTAAATTCAACACACACCACTCGACTCTACGGCGGTAGAGTTAAGTGCACCCGGCGCGGATTATTGCCTCCCCCCTCCTCTTCCCCATTTCTCTTCTCTGTATCAGCCTCATCCCCCTTTTCCGAATATAACAAGCTTATTATTACATGAGACCGAGCGGCGCTCCCAGACCGGAAGCACAGGTAGCTCAGCGCACACCCACGCTCGTTTCGGACTTTGAATTCTGATGAAAATATTTGTGGGTATAGATACTCATCTTACTGTTACGCACTGTTGTGTACCACTGAGCTAAATGATGCGTTACGGCGCTTTACGAGAATGACGATTCCATTGGTTGTTCGGGAGTCCGATATTTTTAAGGATTGCTGTTGAATACGGAGGCTAGATAAGACTCTTATAAATACGTAATAATTCAAGTATGAATCTCAGTGAGTACTCGTTCACGCGCACGTTATTGATGTATTGGGACAAAATTTTTGGGGAAAATGTTTATGCACTGAGAAAAAAAAGTAATAAAAATTACCGAGAAATTCGAGAAAAAATTACCATCCTGCACAATAAATCGGATGCAAGATGTCAAAAAAAGAAGAAAGTATTATTTTTAACAGTTAAAGTTATTGTTTTATTGGTAAAAATTAGAGTTCAAACAGAAAAAATTACTTTGCTGGAACAGTACACCTTAAAAGGATTAGTTAATAAATTTCACTTATCCGCATCAAAATTTTAACTGCTAAAACAATGATTTTTACTGCTAAAAATAACAACTTCTTTCTTTTTCTCCAGCTTGCATTGTATTTACTGTACAGAATGGAAATTTTAGCTGGAATTTCTCCATAATTTTTATTTCTTTTTCTTTCAGTGTACTCGGTTTTTACGTATTAAAATGCTTTGTCACTACACGTAAACTTTTCCAAAGGAGATTTATGTTGCATTAATAACTGTTACTAAAAGAAAAAAGTCGGTGTGTAATGTCGTACATTATAAAACGTCACGTAAAATGTTAGATTTATTTTAATGAAATCACTTCTAAAATTTGTATGGAATAAAAATCCTATTATCATTAATTATACTTTAATTGTCATGCGGTAAGAAGGTAAACATTTTGTAACACAAACTTGAATGATTCAAACGTATAAGTTGGAACGTTCAACTCGTTTACCAAGTCGTAAAATTTCTATCAAATCCACGAGGACTGATAAAAGGGGATAAGAGATAGCTTTCTCGAGTTTCCTTTACCGTATAAGTAAGGGGTATGGGAGAAGATTGAACCTCTTTTTTTACTCTCGAGCGCCGACCTAATTCGCGTTTCCTTTGAGTCGCATTTATTTCCCATTTCCGCATCGTATTATGCGACTGCAACGTTTCCTTCCATCAGGAAGATTTCATTTACCTAGGAATCGAACTTATCTATCGGCACAACGGTGGAAGGAACGAAGCCAAATAATACCACTCTTCCAATTCCATTTCGGATATCATCCTTTTGTACGTTTGGATCCCCAGTCGACTAGACGATTGACCCCATTCTTGGACTGTTCCTTCGTATCCTTTACTTTTTATCATCAATTTCTTTATTTTTCAAAAGTTTTCTTTATTTTTATCGCAGCGGTTTCGAACATTTGAAAAAAAATTTTTTTCCATTCTATACAATTTACTTATTAATTTGAATTCACTGATGAAAAAAATACTTCACCAAATGATTTGTTCCGGATAGATCAAGCTTATACTTTTAAAGGGAAATATGTGAAAGTTTGTCTGTCATGTATGTGTTGTGAAGTAAGAAAAATGTGTTCGAATGAAAATGACGAGCGTTGACATGTAAAAAAGATATTGTTGATTTTAGATAGAAACGTTCAGTTTTGCCACTAATTTCAATGACTATAAGTCACATTTTGTTTGGCAGAAATAAATATCCTTAAAATTCGATAATTTCCCAAAGATGTTTCTTTCTTTGCGTGAAGCTGATTTTGTCAGCTACATGATTTGAACTTTGAATTTCCTAAAAAGATAATACTTTGATATAAGTATTAATGGCTGTTTTAAGTAATAAAGTAGAAAGAAAATTACAGTGGAAAACTAAAACGTTAATGCCGTTTATACTTTCACGATGAGTTTCAGCCCTTTATTACGAAATGAATTAACATTGAAACCTTATAATAAAATAATTTGAACAATATGGAAAAACTAGAAGAAAAAAAAATATATATATACATATATGTTAGAAAAGTAAAAAAGTATTATATCCATAAAACACGTTTTCTACTGGGATTTATTAGAGAATATGACAGTCCGTCAGGTAGATATAAAGAGCGCGCGGTGGCTCGGTCGGCTAGGTCGTGGATTGGCACACGGGAGACCGCGGTTTAATTCCTGGCCAGTGCAACTTTACGGGCAAGTACCTCTGTGATTTTTCACATGTTCTTTTTCACTACGCAATGCTCCTCGAGTAGGGTTTAGGCGACCTTCTCGCAGCAAAAATTGCCTCATTTCCCCCTTACCCCCCCCCTCCCATCCCTTTCCTTGTCCCTTTCCCAAGTGCTAAGTGCCCATAGTAGTGCCCTTAATAAAGGAGCCGGACGTAGAGCACTATAATACAAAAAAAAAAAAAAAGGTAGATATAAAGTCAGTCAGGTCGATTATGAAATAATGTAAAATACGTTTTTTTTTTTATAAATATTAATAAAAACTGACAGAGGTAAAATATTTCAAAAATTCTCATTTGATAAAGGGACGTCAATAGGATATAACATTTAAAAAAAGTCAAAATGACGCGCACGCATAACTACATTTTTTATTTACTTTAGATATGGAACAACTTTAACGTTACTTTTTAAACTTTACTTACATGACTTACATAGACTTGGCATACTTTTTTGATATTTACCGACTTCAATTTTACCGACAAAGTATCCTAGTAACACAAAATTTTTTATGCGCTCGTAATCGTAAATTCGATGGTTTACGATTCCTGCAGCCTTTGCCACGTCAAACTTTTTTATATAAAATCTTACAGGAAATATAGGTCAGTTGTGTGATCCTTCAGCTATCTACCGATCAAAGCCCACCTCTTCTCATAACATACATGTACACACAAGCAGATTGAGCGCATGTTTCTCCTTTAGGAGAAAAGATTTCCTAGCAAATTCGGTCAATTTTAAGCATCCACGCAAGAATGTGGCTCCAGGCGCGCTTCAATACCACGTCACTCTCGGAGGCCGCTGCCGTTAAATTCGACACGTATCCGTACGTGCTCACCCTGGCAAACGTCGCAACAGACTTTACGAACCCTCGCTCAAATAAAAATGGAGCCACCTGATGTTGCACGAACATCGACTACTTTATCCGATGGTGGACTGATGGATAGAAATAAAGTTGATTGCTCCTGGGCATTTTGTTGGGCTTATTAGATTACGGGCTATTTGGTTTTTGTTTGCGCGCCATTCACAAATCAACAGTTTTTCAACAGTATGGTGATTAAAGCGTTATTTTCTTTTGCTCCTAACGACTGAGAGATTTCACATGTAAAACGGCATATTTCTACGAATTAATTCATGATTTTGTAACAAATACCCTTGATCCATCTAATAAAACTAAAATTTATTTTCTTTGTAAATGATTAATTTATACTAATAATCGTAAAGAACTGACTACATTTTCGCGTGAATGTTTTTTTTTAAATTTAGTTTATTTGACTTTTTTCAGAAATTTCTGAGGTATTTAAGTTTTAGTGGCAATGTATTTACATATTGTAGATACAAATATGAGTCCTCCGAGATCAATACAAATAAGGGCTGGAATTGCTTATAATAAAACAGTAGATATATTACGTAACAAGTGCGCAAACTAGGAAATTTTTACAAGAAATAATTAACGGAATTTTAAGGTCTATCTTTCATAGTTAAAAACGAACTTTTTTAATAATAACATATGGGAATTATTAGACTCGCTCAGTTGTATGGCTCATGAGACCCAGACTTAATCTTAAAATAAAAATTGCAGAAAAGAAAAAAAAAAGATGCATGATGATCATCATATTTCAAAAGCGTAAGGAGGGTGGCATAACAGAAGCCAAATAAAGTCGAATATTTCATTTCCTTTCGTCGAATTGCAGGTCATGTGTTTCCAAGGTTTGGCAGTTTGATAGTTCGAGTAGGGGATACTTTAATATGTAGCTAGCAGCAGGTTTTGACGGGTCGCCACATGTTACGTCTAATAATGCCAAAAAGATCATTCAGCGCTTGAACTCTGTGTTGCACTGCTTTCCGACCTTTTCAAACCAAATGTATTTTTTCGCTTCTTATCCTCGTAGATTACATCTTTCATTCTTCATAATCGAAAATGAATCAGCCAAATGATTTTAAATGAAAATGTTAGTTAGAAATGCGAATACAATATACTATTAAATGTTTATATATTTTATGTCAAAGAAAATACAAGTATACGCACTTTCAGGCTCTGATGCAAATTAATAATATATTTATAAATATTTTTTAATTTAATTTTTGCATTGCTAATAACAAGGTACAAGAAATGTTCTTAAACGTCGAAAGGTGTGATGCTACATTGTTGGCGCTCATCTTCAGTGTCACTGCAATGAAACGTGGTGTAGATCTCCTTAAAATTTGATATTACTTTGTTTATCATTATTTTTTTACGTGCTGTACATTGTGCCTGGAATAAAATTACTTAACATCTAAAGAAAATATTATTTATTACTTAAGATAATAACGAACGTACCTGTGTATAAGCTTTAAAAAAATCTTTTGTCACATTATTTCCAAGGTCTTCTAACATAGCTTCATAAGCCAATTGTACCCCAAAAATTTCTGTTATGGTCTCGAATGCTAGTTTATGCTAGAAAATAAATTTCTCAATTGTTTTAAAGAATTTTGAAAGATTTCTTTTAACTTACAGTAAATCAAAACAAACATTTTAATTTTGATTTGTATAATCTTGAAAACATATTACATTACTTGTCACAAGTATAAGTAATTCAAAAACAGATAAAAAAACTATCTATTAAGGTATGTGATGTTAGAAACATTCTAATCAAGAAACTAAGACGTTTCATCGAATTTTATTATACTTGTATTTTAAGTTATAAATAAAAAGATAGTTACCCCATATTTGAAAGCATTTTTGGGAATAAAACAATTTATTGCTAACGGTGGATAAGTTCCATATGGAATAAACCATTCACTTCCCAATCGATGAAATAATTGTTCTAAAATTTTTTATTCAATTATTAGTAATTAATAACTTGTATTCATCAATTATAGTTGGTAAACTATTTTTACTAATTACAAGGAAAAAAATTTACCATTCATAACGTTTTTGAACTTGTTTTCTCTTAATAAGGAGTATAAAAAAGCTCCCATGTTTACTCCGTAAGTTGCATAATAGGTCTCTCTTGATAATTATTTAATACATCATACAACACAAAATATATAAAAAGTAGATTAACTAAAAGTTAATTTTAAGTAAGAGTATTTGAATTGCTTAAATTTTATGGACTTACTGATGTATTAAAGGCCGTGAAAGTATATGTTGAGTAGCAATAGTGGTGAACATCGTATGTAAGACTGTAAAAATAAAAATTTTCTTCAAATTTGGTCCGAGACTTGGTTGAATTATGGTTAATAATCTGTCAAGGTCTTAGAATGATCGCTTGTCTAGTTTTCCAGACATAAACTTTCAAAGTTATTTATTTGACATGTATACTTAGTATGTAGGACAATTTTTTCAAAATCGTACACCTAAATTCATAATAAAAAATTTTCTATCACGAATGGGTGGAAAAATAATGTGTTATCTTTTATGCATTTTGTAAAAACTATAAATGTTTAAATAACTGCTTGAATAGAACAGAGTAGATAAACTTTGTTGTTAATTAAGCTTTTATGTATTTTAATAAGTCCAATTATATCATTTTTACAACAATTCCGTCTAAAGTTTGAATATTTAATTATAGGAAAAAACAGGAAAAGACTCTGGTTGAGACATGTTTATGCTAATATTAAAGAGACTTACAATATTATCTAATAAACTCTTTTCATACGAATAAATAATCTTTGATGGAATATACTTTAATAAATGTGTGTACAAAATTCGAAGGATCCATGTTGTCATACCGTTTTTTTATTGTAATAAATCAAATAAATTTCTTTCGTAATAATATTACAGCAATAGTTAGTAAGATAGAGAAAACTTTGGCTTTGATATCAGAAAATGTTTTTATATCACACTAAGCGTAAAGTTCGTACTGTTCTCCCTGTATACAGGGACAGAAACTGAGTAATAAGTGCGTGTACGCATGCGTATCTATATCTTACTGTATATAACTATATACATAAACCAATAAGTGCCTGAAGTAGTTCGGTGCTCGAACATAGCGAGGGCGCCACACTGCAGCAAACGAACAAATTTGGGAAATATCAACAAGATAAAAGAAGCCAATGTACTGTTTGCTGGTGTATTTTATACAAAAAAAAACATGAGATTCTGAACAAATGGAAATAATTAAAATTGTTATACAATTTTCTTTGTTCACACATTTTTAAATAATAACTGCATTTTTACAGTTCTTCATTTTTATCAATCTTGTATAATAAACTATTGAAATTATTACATTTCGAAACACATTCATTAAAAGAGTTAAATAATTAGGTCCTTGTTCTTATGCTTCCATTGTAAGAATCGAGCGTATGCATATTCATATAATGCTCTCGATTTTATGGGAAGTAAATTTTGAACAATGGCATTTCGTTCACAGTCAAAGTCTCTTCCTTCCCCTACTTTATCCTCGTTAAAGTTTTCTTCGTCAGAAGAATCCTCTTCAAACATGACTGTCGAAACTGTTGCCATATTTTATACAAAAATACAGGAATATCCTAAATATC